ATTCTAACAATTTTTTTTGAATTATTTCTACTACAATGCTTTCTGTTTTTTTTTTTGATAAAAGAAAAAATTTGTAACATTTGTCTTTTTTTGCTAGTAAGTTATTGTATTCTTTAATAAACGCTACTCATACTAAGCAGTAAAGCGCAACTCCACCTTTAGTCAGAACTGAGGTATGTATGTGTATGGTAAGGTAAAACAAGTAACGCTGAAAAACTTTATTCAATCATTATCTCGAAATTGATTGACGTATGAGCTTTTAAGCGACTCACCGGGTTGGTCTCAAATACAAAAAAACCATCTCACTCGTGCCGTACTCTTAAATAGCAGAAAAACCTTTTGATTGTGTTAGAGATTTAACATCAAGAACAAAACAATGAGGGACTCTAATGACACAGTTGCAAGTACATATGTCATCTCAAAAACATGCATTAGCATCATTTACTGATTAACGCTAAATGAGGACGTTATGAGATAGACTTATAAATATATATTTGACACAAAGATAACGCAACAATCGGCAAAAAAAAATTTTTTTTTCGGACAAGAAACATTCGTTGACGTGCTGTCTGTGTCGGTAACTTATCGAATATTCAAACCATTGTGATAATTTCGAATGCCGTCTTTTATTCGATGCGGATGTCTAGCTGTTTCTTTTATCCTTGACGGCGCTCATCAACAAACATGAGAAGACCATCGCGAACAGCTATAGAATATTTTTCATTTATTTTTATGAATAACATAAATGACGTTTGTTTTACCTCAACGAGTAAGATTATTGCTGCAACGACAATGACGTAAACCAGATTACTCTCAAGGATTTGCCAGATATAAGTCGCACAGCCAATCTAAATAAAAAATAAAATAACTTGGCAAAGTTGGAGAGCCTTTATATGAGGAAAAGATAGGATTTACCTGAGTGGTATTGTTGTAACATTGGCAAGAGCTTGGATATGCGCCAAACTGAAGATAGTCTGCACATCCAGAAGCGCCACAACAGTGCAGCTGAAAATTTATAGCATTTCCCTTTGTTTGATTAAATAAGTTAAATTTTAACAACCTAAGATTTGTATGCCGTTTTGGTAGTAGTTTAGATCTACCGTCTAAAACGACTTAAAAGCGATTCATCTATCGATATGGGTGGTCAAAACTGCTTGAAACAGTCAAAATAATGAAATTTTGCATTAAGATTACTGTGAAAACGGTTTTCCAAAGATTCTGCAGGGATGATAATGTCCTAAAATGTCGGACTTTCAAAACACTGGAACGTGACTTCGTGATACTCA